GAGCCCTCAAACCACCCGCCCGCTGGTTCCCACGGCAACTCACAAAACACATGGCGTGACGTAGTTGTGACGTCCACAACCTCACCCCCAGCCAGGATTGCCAGATGGCAGTTACCTTTCTCGCGGATCTTGGCTGTCGCCATCAGGTGTACGATGAGGAGGGAGAGTGAAAGTGACGAAGCAGTGCCACAGTGCACGGAACACCATGTTATGTCAATAGACATTTTAGAGAAACTTTGAAAAATAAAATCGTTCTAAGCGAGTAGTTGTGGCAGTAAGAGCGGACGTACTTGTATATAGGTTACAGCACTGCTTGACGCATGTGTCCAAATGTTAGCGAGGAACACAGTCAGCTGGCCGCTTCACGTTTCACTTGGCCGCCGCTCACATCCTCTACGGTGAGGCTTTCACTGGCGACACGGGAGGCAGCAAGCAGCCCCGACCCGAGACAATCTTTCCTACAGTTGACAGGCACACACACGTGAGAGCTTGAAAGTGTTGTACTTTATGTTCTGGCGATAATCCTGTCTAAGACTTTCGATTTTCTTTTGACCTTCAATAATGATGGTTGATTTTATTTAAACATTTACTAATATCGATATTCTTTTAGCGTCATCTCTGACATTCACTCACCACAATATTTCTTTACCGTGTATGGGGGGGTCTTTTTTATCATTCTTTACGCACTTAATATCAATATTCCTTTACTACTTTTGGATGATATTATACGAAGATCTTCATTGACCTTAAAATAGTTATGTTATATCCATTCCGTATATTTACACTGGTATCTGATACGCCTTACGAGATTACTAATGATATTCGATCGTCATTCTACCCATGTGATGATGTTAGACCACTTGTTGAGATCAGTTATATAGTTCACGTGAGGCGCTGGACACTTAACTTAAACAGTACTAACAGGATCGAATTCCTTTAAGGTATTTATTAATGATATTCGAGCTTCTTTTCTTTTATCAAGTATCAATGGATTTTGCTTTAGAGTTTACTGAGGGTATTAATGTGTTCTCAGTAAATAATTAAGATACAAGATATTTAAACACTAGGGGTGACGGAGGAGGGGGAGGGGGAGGACGAGGGGGAAAGGGGGTACGTGCTAGGAGCAATACCGATGGGCATTATCAACTAATGCCCCGGGTGGGCGATAGGGGCTGGAGGGTGGGTTAGGAAGGGTGGGTTAGGAAGGGTGGTGTAAGTGGGAGAGGGTGGAAGGTGGCGGGCGGGTGGGTAAGGAGGGAGGAGTGGGTGTGAGAGGATAGAGAGTACGAAAGGGAGAGGTGTTGTGGGTGGAAAAGGATGGGAGTTGGGAGGGGAGGTGTAGGTGGAGGGGAAGTGTGGTTGGGACAGGGTTTGAGGGTAATTATGAGTCGTTCCCCAGTTTGTTTGTTTGTTTGTTTTTGTTGTGTGTGTGTGTACAATTCATTTCAATTTAATATCTTAATAATAAATATATATATATATATATATATATAAATATATATATATATATATATATATATATATATATATATATATATATATATATATATATATATATATATAATAAGAAAGAAAACAACTTTCGTGTAATTCATCTTCAGGATACCTGAAGTGTATAGATTATCACCACCTACAGTAATTATATATATATATATATATATATATATATATATATATATATATATATATATATATATATTTCATGTAGATCCACAGTGAAAACGTGGATAAGATAAATCTTGATAAAATCACACGGGAAAAGGAAACAACAAAGCACCTTAGCTTTCGTCTTTATTCAGGACATCTTCAGAGCAGCTGTTGCTCTGATGTCTTGAATAAACAGCTAAGGTGCTCCGTTCCTATATATATATATATATATATATATATATATATATATATATAACTCAGTCAATCTATATATTATCTATTCATCTAATCTAACACACCATTCATGTCTATCCAGACTATCTATCTATCTATCTATCTGACCCTAGTTTAAGACTCTTACATATTAGTTGTCCTCAGATTTTGGATCAGGGTCAAGGCCGCAGCTGCTTTCTGCCGGGGAGTGAGGCAGTGGTTGACTAACAGACATACACACGTGCGATAGGATGAGGAAACTGAACAGCAGGATTCCCCCTCTTAATCCTTGAGTGACTTTTGATCCCTTCAGTGACCTTCGACCTTTACAGTGACCTCTTAACTCCATCAGTGACCCTTGACCCTTGCAGTAACCCCCAACGTCTTCAGTGACCTTCGACCTTTACAGTGACCTCTAACTCCATCAGTGACCCTTGACCCTTGCAGTAACCCCCAACTTCTTCAGTGACCTTTGACACCTGTGACCTCTTACCCCTACAGTGACTTCTGACACCTGCAATGACCTTTGACCCCTTATGTATCCTACACTATTGTAACCTTCCCAGCGTCCTGAAAATTGTTGAAAGAGGAAAATAAGAAAACGGAGGAAAATAAAAGGAGGAAAACGAAAAACGGAGAAAAACCTAAACTACCAAAGAGAATAATCCCAGAGAAGAAAAGTAAACAAGGAAAAGGTAGAGGAAAAAATGTAAACAATATACCAGGTGAAACACAGGTACGGAACAACAAACACTAACCACAAGTAAACAGCGGCGTCTTGGTTAAGGGTGAATAGTTACGGATAAAATTCCTTGATACACAATACACGAGTTTCAAAGACTATGGCAAGACTATGGCCACACCCTTGATTAAGTTGACCATTATGTACTATAGTGACTCCCTCCCGTCCACAAATAAATTCAAGTATACTTATAAACATTAAACAACATGTATAATTGCCTTACTATTAAAGGGACAATTATATATCGATTTTAGAACTATAATCCATATTTTATACACTACATATAACTTCTGTTCTTCATACCTATCATTCAATAAGGTCTAAACCCCAGGTCTTATGTATACTACAGTGTGTTACTACAGTGTACAAGGCAAAAAAAAGGGGTGCACAATAAACGTGTTGTAGAATAAAGTTTAAATCCTAGGCCTTTTGTGTATTTTAGAGTTTTTTTTTTATGCTACTGCGGGATCAAGGGAGATGACTGGGTGCACAATAAACTAGTTTCTTCGTGGCAAAAAAGAAACATCATACGAGTAAATTGTATTAAATTCTTATGCTTCGAAGTCTCCACACACTCACCCCAGTATGGCAATAGGTACAGCCGTCACCAGTATGTGTGTAGTAGTAGTAGTAGTAGTAGTAGTAGTAGTAGTAGTAGTAGTAGTAGTAGTAGTAGTAGTAGTAGTAGTAGTAGTAGTAGTAGTAGTAGTAGTAGTAGTAGTAGTAGTAGTAGTAGTAGTAGTAGTAGTAGTAGTAGTAGCAGTAGTAGTAGTAGTAGTAGTAGTAGTAGTGCGTCACGGATATAATGATGATAGACCTGTATCCTCCTCTCACTGTCCTCCCTCTCCTTCCTCCCTCTCCCTCTCTCTTCTCCTTCCTCCCTCTCCCTCCCTCCTCTCTTCCCTTTCCTACCTCTCTCTATTATCTCTTCTATATATATACCTGACTTCTTCTTTCTATAATTATTAATCTTCTTTATCTCCTTCATCATTTGGTTTCCTCCTTCTTTTCTTCCCACTTCCTTCCATTTCACATACCACCCAACACCCTCACACACCACCTCTATACATTACATACGCCAGCACACCCTCACACCATCCCAACACCTACCCCACCCCCCGCAGCGCCCTCCTACACCCTCAGACCACCCTCACACCTATCCCAGCACACGTTAACACCCCCCCTACGCCCACACTAGCGACCTGACAAAACCCTTAAATTGGACTCCAGGTAACAATAAATTCACCACTCGGGTAGTGAGTCTCTTTAATAACAAGGACTCAGCTTAAACACACTGGCCCGGCGTGACGTCACATACCAGGTAGATGTGGTCAGGGAGTTGAAATTGGGAGTGGGTGGAGGGCCGGGTAGGGTGGGAATTGGGGTGGGAATTTAGGTGTGGGTTGAGGATTTGTGGTGGGTGGGAGTATGTGGAGGATGGAGTATGGTGGGAGTCGGAGGATGGGGATGAGGGAAGGAAGTTAAGGGGTAGGGAGTGAGGGATTGGAAAGTGAAATAGAGGTGGGATAGACAGTGGAGAATAGGGTATGTGAGGTGGGGGATAGGAATGAATGGTTGAGGGGACAAAAAGGCAGATAGTGGGTCCTAAGGATGAGAGTGAGTTAGTTTGTGGGTGAGGATATAGAGAAATGGGGTGGGGGGGTGAAGGAACACTCACAGAACTGGAATGGCTCCTCTTCACACAGTTTTCTCTCTCTCTCTCTCTCTCTCTCTCTCTCTCTCTCTCTCTCTCTCTCTCTCTCTCTCTCTCTCTCTCTCTCTCTATCTATTCTTTTTACACTTAGCGAAATTAAAAGTTTTGTGAGTATTTAAATATTTTGGGTTCGAGAATTTGTTTTGTGTTTTGATGTGTGTGTGTGTGTGTGTGTGTGTGTATGTGTGTGTGTGTGTGTGTTGCTGAAGGAGTGTGATCTACAATTATTACTAACGGGATAAGAGCACCCATCACCACCCCGTCATCACCCATCACCACTCTCTCCTTCACCACCCCATCACCACTCTCCTCCCTCCACCACCCATCACCTCTCCCCCACTCACTCACCACTCTCATTCCCTCACCAGCCCATCACCACTCTCCTCCCTCACCACCCCATCACCACTCCTCATTCCCTCACCAGCCCATCACCCTCTCACTCCTTCACCACCCCCATCACCACTCTCCTCCCGTACACCCCATCACCTCTCCTCCTTCACCACCCCATCACCACTCTCCTCCCGTCACCAGCCCATCACCACTCTCACTCCCTCCCCACCCCATCACCTCTCACTTCGTCACCAGCCCATCACCACTCTCACTCCCTCACCACCCCATCACCACTCTCCCGTCACCAGCGTCACTCGGGTGTTAATTCCGTAAATATAATCATTCAAATCTCACCAGGAAGCTTTTCTCGTGAACCAATGTTGATCCTTCTATAATCCATCTTTTTTTCTGCTCTTTATCCATCTCCAT